GGCCAGATATGTAGATTGGGCACGCTTTCAACTCGGAAAGAAAGACGAGCCAGCCGAACAATAGGTAAATGCACTTCCGTGAAGTGTAGACCGCTACTAAACCGTAGCCGAGCCACCTACCTACTATGCGACTTGCTGAATCGAGAGTCGAGAAAATAGGCGTTCTGTTGCGGCGACCGTAAGGCGGCGGCGGCGACGGAGGATGGAAACGGAAATGGAAAAGCTTGAAAACGAAGTGCTCTCCCGTCGAAACTTTTATCCCCCGAAAAGAATGTGCGAGATTGAATGTGAGAAGACGGGGGAGAGAGGGTGTCGATAGGGAAGGAGTTCGTAACACGACAAGAGCACGTTTATTCCATCGATTATGGATATATTGTATGCGATGTAAGCCGACGAACGCGCACATCATTAAAGCGAGTAGAGTGAAAAGCGGCGCGATGCGCGTAAATAATAAACATGAAAAGTTCGTGAAATAAGTAATGTACGATTCATAAGCTACTCCGCGCCGACAAAATGTCTTGCGAGAAAATGTGTCTCGAGTTTGCAGAGGGATATAGCACTGAATAATTTATGAAATTTGACGAAGCGCCGAGAGACAGAGAGAGAGAGAACTGTGAATTTATTTAAGAACTCGACAGTTATACCTAAAGCAAACGATAACAGGAAGGTCGTTTAATCGTATTCGGTTCTGAAAACTGCTCCACGTACCGGTCAATTACGCATGCGAGCTATTGTTTTACCTCTACGTAAATTAATAGTAAGACCGGTTGTAAGCGATTTCGGCGCAATATGCTGTCGCGTATTTCAAATGATAAAGAACGGCTAGTCTCAACGGTATACAGTAATTACCCACACAAAATATCAGTGATTCATGCGACGTTCGTGCTGTCACGCGCAATATAATGCCTACTGTAATGCATCTCGCGGAGATATCGGAATATATGATGAAAACAAAATTCCGAGATATTGTTAGAAATGTATTTGCGCAGCTTTCCCGACGCGAAGCGCGCGCAAGCCGGCCGACTCGAATTTCATCAATGGCGCAATCGTAGCGAATATAAAATATCTTGCATTAATTTTCGAATATTTGAATCTATTTCATGAAAGAGTGAAAATTATGATTTGTCCGTTTTTTCGCCGGCGGCATTGAATTATGGCCGGGGAAGAATTGTTCCCGGCGAAATGCAGATAGGTGCGCGCGCGCGTTCCCCTTGCAGTTCGTGACCTCATTTCGCACAGATTTTGTACAATTTATAGCGGAAGACGGCAAAGATATCCGAGCAAGATAATCAAGATTAAGTTATATAACGCAACGCCGGCGCGCGCGAATCTCACGCCGGCGAACACATTTCGCTACGAATTTATCCTCGATCCTCGACGCGCAATGACGCTTTATCCGCATAGCTAATCCTTGTCGGATAATCTCTGAGAAACGGGCCGAATCTATTTCGGAGCATTCATCTTCCCGGAGCAACTTTTTTATAGACCGTAACGTCGAACCTCTTAAAACCCCGAATGCTCTTGCGCGCTACCTAACGGCTCTTCTACGGTGCTCCCAACTCCTAGCTTTTTTCCAAGCGCCTCTCACCTGAATCTGCGAAACTTCACTCGTACGTAAGCCCGCGAGCGTCCATCGTTCCGAGCGATTTATAGTGATGGCCGCGACTTTTCAAACTACCAAAGGCCGCGGCGGCGGCCGCCGATCGCGATTTCCGGCCGCTCCGCAATCGCGCCAATTATAATAAGAATTTACGAGCGAGTCCAAACGACTGCGCAGACTATCGATAAAGTGCCATCGGCGGGACACCCGATCTCTTTCCCTCCTTCGAAAACATCCGATAGATTTACGAGGGTAATTACGCGCTTTCACCCGCGGCTATTCGTCGCCCCGCGCAAATGCGCTATCCGTTCTTCTCGCCTTTATTCATCTCGCTCAACCTCTTCCTCACTCTTCCTCTGCTTCTCTCGCTTTCTTTTTGCACACGTTAGCACCTACATGACAGGTCTGACCAACTTTACGATCGAGCTCGTTGATCACAATCGGCGTGTCCAATATTTGGACGTAACGTGCTGGCACCTCAAGACCAATCGTGACGATCGAAACGAAAGCCAGGTGCGCACTAGGAAAACAAGTTTTGCTAGAATAGAAAATTGTTTGTTAATTTAATGACGGCAGAAAAACTTGTTTGGACAGCAAAAGAAAATTTATTTGAATAGAAGAAAGATTTGTTAAATATTAATTGCTGTTTACTTAATGTATGAACGGCAAAATAATTTGGTTATGCCAACGAAATTTTATTGTTGTCGCAACAACGTTCTGCTACAACAGCAAAATTATTCTTTCCGTGTGACAAATCTTTTTGTTGTCACTATACTACAAAGAATTATTACAAAAAAAAAAAACAATTTGCTATTCCAGCAAAACTTGTTTTCTCCGTACATTAGCGGAGCACGAAGGATTCTCACAGAAGGGTATACAGTTAGCCAAAAATTGAAATATAAATTAATAAATTTCATAATATCCGAGTATCACATAGAAAAAGTTATTCCGTCGGTGTAATTGAATTGTTCGTTGTCTCAGAATTTGACGAAAATTCGATTACAGAAACTGAAGGATTCCTGTAGGGAGGTTTCTGCTCAGTCAATTGTTCTCAGTTGTCTCAACCGAGTTTTAACCGAGCAGCTGAATGTTCGAATGTTCTCTGTCGCAATAACAGAGATATATATCACTTCGCCGAGTTTTCCTTTCTTCTGAGTTTTCATCTGGTCCCTATTCTGTTGCATAAATTAAGTTCTATTTTTCCGTGCAGACACTAATTCCAATAATAATATATATAAATGTGCTATTTTTAGTATCACTATAGTAATATTTATGTTAATATCAAATAATTGTTATAATTTCTTATAATTACAATGATATTCGCGATACAAAGTACCCATGGAATATCCGGAACAATCACCTTCTCAGAAGTAAAAAGGGCTTTATTTAAATAAATTTAATTTACAAAATAGCCGAGTTCGTAGAGGAAAATAATTAAAAACGGTTATTCCAATGAATATGAGTATACTAATTAAACAATAATATAAAAAAGTAACAATATAGAAATTATGTTATATATATAACATAAAATGTAGAGCTTTATTCGATGCTTTGCAGTGCTTTTATTCGGTAACATCCATATATGGAATTCGTGTTAATAACTCTAATTAATAATTCTAGTCATATCCCGGCTTTATACATCAAAATTCCTCAACGATTTATCGCGCAATTCTAACATTCCGATGGAAAATTCGGCCACACTCGCGGATCTGCGATACGATAGCGAATCCCCTAACCTCCATTTCGTATATTCGCATGTAATTATACGGCAGTCTGCAAAATCGCTCTAAAATTGCCGGAAGAGGGTCGCGCGAGATTTCTCAGTTTTCGGCACATCAATTTCGGCGTTTCTTTCCTCGGCGTTAATTATTAACGAGCACACTAATTCCCCAACAAATCGACAGCCGCAATATATACGAGCCGTCGTATAAATTGTCGTATAAATCGTCATAGAGCGGCGGTCGGATATAACCGACTGTTCTTACAAATCCCACGATATATTCGTTTAATCGCGAAGCGGAGCGTAAGCGCGAACATAAAACGCGCTTGACAATCGTTATCTATATGTAAACGATTTCGTGCGTGTTAGATAAATTATACGAATGGCCGGACTGCAACTAATTCGCACGTGACAATGATCCCTGATTTATAGCGCATCGGGTCAGAATTTACTCGTGAATCAAAACGAGCGCAGACGCACGCCGTCGATAACATGAGAGACGGGAGATATTGACTTGAACATTATTCAGTCTAATTATACTAATTGTTGCAGGACTGCGCGAGCGTCTTAGGCGTCACGAAAGATGGAGCTAAACGTGAGCGACATGCTACATCTCCTGAGCGGCAATTCCCTCAATTTACCCTCTAATATCTTAATTATATGCACATGGAGTTGCCGCCGCTTCTCGGAATATGCGGCGACACGATTCCATTCGGCCAATCTCATCCCTCCCCCCCCCTCTCCCCCCAAGATCTCAAACTTTAAATACCGAGCGGTGCGAGAGCTCTCAGATATTCAATCGAGCATAAGCAATCAATTTTACACTCGATTTTAGATTTTGCTCTTCAGAGAAGTAAAACTGAGATTAAAGGAATCCGCGTTGATTTTTCGCATTGATAGGGATTTCACGTCGAGTACTTTACTGAGATCTTCTGGAGTTCGAAAAATGAGAGAGAATGTGACGATTATAACTGTGCTCCGCCGGCTCAATACAGACTGCACGAAGAAAATGTACGAGCCATTACAGTCTCGCGCAGACTTCAATTTTCGATGCAATTTGCATGAAAAAGAACGTACTTCGCGGCAATCCGTGCCGCTTCCGTCGCCCCTTCATGAATTTTATCATTTAGCATAGCGCGTGTCATTCATGCACGGTTGATGGGTGTATTCCAGAATAAACAGGAGAATTACTTTCATATAGAGAACGTTCATCCAAAGCCAATTAAAGTTTTACGAGCGGAGACCCCGGCAAAATGATTAACCTATACTACAGCAGTTAACAATTAGCTGCAAACGAATAATCCGAGTCGGGCAAGAATTTGAAATTTACGAATCTGAGATCACTCGATATGATGGACATTTCGTCGTACTTGCTCGAATCGAAATTTCAGCCCGCTGAGAGAAAAATTCGAGGATACGCGTTAACAAAAAATGACGCGAACGGGAAACGGAGCAACGCGAAGACTGAAAGAAGAAGACGCGAAAAGAATCGGAGCAATGATGAAACGCAGAAAACACTCCCGTATAAATATTTAAAATCCAATACGCCATGCTCTTTATCTCAAAGCATGTTTGCGCGTTACACGCCCTAAACGGCGGGACAAAAACAAACGTTTCCGTTGACCTTGCGACTTCCATTTTCATCGTCGCTACGTACGAAGCACAGCGTTGTGCACTCACCCAAATTGTCGGAGCCCGCCGCCCGATGAGCCCGAAGAAGTAGCAACGACACCGCCAACACGATCATGACGATCCTCTTGTCGAGCGCAGCACCGGTCAGAATCATTGTCACATTAATGAATTACAACCTGTCACCGAGCGACGTCGCACCGTCGAACGTAAGCGAATCTCGCACTGATACGTCACACCACCTGCGCTTGGTCACCGACTCGAAACACTTGCGTAGCCATTCAACGACGAGTCACTCGCGAAGTGTCGTCCAACTCGGATCAATCATTCCGGCCGTCGTGCTCCTATCAGATCGCACCGGCTCGTCAAAAACGACGCGTCATGCTCTCGAAGTCCGCGACGTTCCGCTCACGGATTAAAACTCGCGCGAATGCCGCCCCGATCTCACAGAATTCGCGCGATTCCGGTGTTCGAACGTCGAGACGTTACTCCGCTTCCGCCTTACGAGTTAGCGTCTGAATGTAGCAGCCGGTGGCCATATCGCGAGATATCGTTAGAATCACTGACTACGGGTGCACCCGTGTTCGCGACTGTTCCCTCTTCGGTACCGGCACCGATGTTCCGTGCGGAAAAAGCGACGGCAGGTTCACGCGAGGTGGTCGAGCGAGCTGCTCCGCTGTCGCTCCGTTGTCGAACTAAGGGCCGAGCAAGTGGATTCACCGAACTCCCATGGAATATACGAGGCGATGCCTCGTACTGTCGTAAGAGCACGCGTTGCGGTGTAAACAGAGGACGTACACATTACTCGATGCTCGGCGCGCGACTGACGGGTCCAGACGGGACTTTTGAAAGTAGGGCTGCGCGACGCGCGACGTCACGCCAGCCGGTCGACACATGCGCCCTCGCGCGAGCTCGCCCGTTCTCCCAGCCGCTCCGCGGGGTGTATCCTCGTCGAATTTTCGAAATGCCTGAGACGGTCGTGACCCCGGGCGCACCTCCTCGAAACCGGTCAAAAAGTAAGTATGATTATATCCGAATAACGGTAAGAGACCTGTGAAACAATCCCTGGAAGGGATTTATGCGACGCTCGTCAACTGGACATGAACAGAACGAACGCCTAAAAGATCTCTTCCCAGACAGTACGTGAAAGCATTCGTATATACCATTTTCATACCGAATGTACCGTAGATATGTACGTGACATGCTGAGAACATCCCTGCAACATTTCTCGTAGTACATCCCTATGTCATATCTCGTACATCCTTAAGACATGTTCAGAATATAGAAATTTAACATAACCTCTAGCTAACTTTATATTGGGCTGGCTTTACATTCATTCAATATATCTTCAATAAATGCCAATATAAGTAATATGAGACCAATGTATTGCCAATGCACTGTGTTACTAAGATACACATCATTATACTGAATTATGTGTGAAATTTGTCTATATATAATTATTTCATATTAATCATGCATAAATTATGTATGATTAGGTATGATTAGATGTAATTATCTCATTACTGCGCAATTTTTTTTCTTTATGCAAGCTAGAAGATTTCAGTAAGTCTATCTTGAAGTCTCAACGTAGAGAAAACAGCCAAAAGTTTGTTATAACGTCAAAAATGCACAATAATGATCAGATAATTATATCTAAGCATATCTAATCATGTATATCACTATGTATGATTATTAAATAATTGTATAGACAAATTTTATACATAATTTAATAAAATTATGCGTAGTTATGTACATTTATACATGATTATGTATGAAATCTTTTTTAACAAGTTTTATTGTCTGGAAAGTTAGAAAGAGAAATAATAATGGCGAGAGGAAGTATAGAAAGTGCAACTAAAAGTAATCATACTAATATTATCATCTATTTAATTTCCAGAAACAGATCAGAGATGATACGAAACGTGTCCAGTGGCATAGTACACAGATAGAACGTGAGTTTTTATAATCATTTTTTGTCATTTTGACGTCATCGTCACCATATGTTCTATCTAAGTATTGATTTCGTCGTCAGTTAACGCTATGGGCATTCGTGTTCCGTTAGTGAAGTTATCTTATCTCGCGACGTTTCGCATTCAGTTTGATACAACCCTCGCCATCCATTTTGAGTGTTTATCCATCGAGGATGAATTTTGGACGAGAACAAATGATAGAGGATTGCTTCCTCATATATTTATGTTACTTATGTTACTTGGTAAATATTTGAAGCGTTGAACAGTATTCATCTTATTCTTCAGAAAATTTATTTATATTTAAACTGTTTACTCTTATATTTTATTTAAATTACAAAACTGTATAACAGAACCGTTCAATGGAGTTCCCTCATTTCTTAAAGCACTCTATTTTGTTATCCAGCCCGTAACCCTATGAAAGTTACACAAGAAATCTTAATATCCAATCGCTTATAACTTCGTCGAAGCCGTTGACTTTAATAATTTCACCGAGGGAAAATGAATTTAGAATGAATCCCCGAACAAAGCAACACGCGCGATATTTTTCTTTCTCGGATCCATATAAGTTTCGGCAATTCGTAACGTGAGAGCAGAATTTGGAGTAGCAAACTAGAGTGAATCTTCGGCCTTTAAGGTCGAGAGGGTAGGAACACGTGTCGAAGTCACCCAAACCATGACCCTGCCTAAAGCTCGCCTATCTACCTACTAACCAACCTTCGCTTCCGTTATCGAGCATGCGTATCCTGTGCTTTTCGGGGATGCAATTCGCACGCCGCATTCCGAATCTCGATGGCTGCGGTTACGTATAGGGAAAAGCGTTAAGTACGAAGACGATTTGCAGCTGACGCGATCATGCGGCAGGTAAATGACATTTGGCGTACTGCCCGATTGCCCTACGCTGTATCGTGTTGCGGATTTTGCCGATATGTAAGTCCCTCCTTTAACGTACGGGAGAGGACAGATTCGCGATCTAGCTTTTATTGCTCTTCTTTCTGGACGATAAAAATTGAAAAATTGTTTTGCGGTTTCGTAGAGGGATGAACTACGCGACTCTTGACAGCTCTCTCCGTCGTTGGTATAAAGTTTTCTCTTTTATTTCGTTTAACGCGTTTCTGCATCGTAGATTTTAATTTCAACATATGATTTTCTTTATCATTTCATATATTACTCTTACGTATACACCTCTCGTCGCTATTTACGGGAAGAATAATGAAATGAATGTTGCTTTTGTATTTGTGATTAAAATATTGCGAAAACGATACTACTCCGAGGTAGTTTTACATTTACGGTTAAAAAATCTTCCTTTAAATATTTTTGAACATATTATTGTACTATCAGGAGTCACGAAAAGTGCGACTTTTGATGTTATATTATTACATTATTACTAATTTTCTCGTGATTATACATTACTACCAATGTCGGTCCCAGGAAATGTTTGTATGTACCACAAAGGGAAATTAAATTTTCCTCACGGTAGTACATACACAAAGTTACATCATGAAAAATCTTTCCTTTCTCGCGTCTTTCGTAGCGCAAAGATTAAACCTTGCGTTTGCAAGCTAGTTTCATAAAATTGTGTCTCTCCGTGCGTTGAAAAACGCGTCGAAAATATAAAGGGCGGGCTTCTCTCTGAATGCACCGCGGCGCGGTCGGAAGATAACGAGCAGCGATAGTAACATCGAGTATAGGGCCATGTGCATCGGAGTGCGTCGCACAAGAACAACCTAAGAATACGCGAAGAGACGTCTGGTCTGGTCGATGCGCGTGAGTTTAATTTTATTCACCCGGCTACCTAAAAACGTAGCGTTGAGAGATATCGCGAAGAAACTCCCTCGAACTTTGCGACGTGTGAAACGCGCGAACACGACTTAGAATTTATCGCCCTGTGTACGTTAAAACGACAAGTTCAAACTCCTCCTTCGCCTCTTATCCCCAAATATTACCTTAATTACAGTTGACTTGTTTACGAGTACCTGGGTAATTGCGTGAATTATTTCACTTGACATTTCTGTAAACAAACTTTGCGGAATGTGCACAGATTCGTCGGAATATCGGAAAATATGGCAAACCCTTTAGATTATATAATAATATTTTCTAAAGATATTCTTGTAACGAAAATAGAATACTATATTAATTATTGATTCAGGTTACTTTGTCATAGGACGTATATAAGAGATAAAATAGAAATTGTTTTAAATATACTTTCGAAATACTTATAATAAAGCAAGTATTTGTTATTTCTCTTATCAATGACGTTAATTCAACAATATTGGCATCGTAATATTAACAGCGTGATCCGATAAGTAATACGGATAAGAATTCCGCACTATTGAAAATCGCAGAGAAGTCAAGAGATAAGCGGGCGATTTTGAGAAAATTGTTTGACAATGTTCGGAGGATGCAGACGTAATAAAGTATAAAGACGAAGCAGGTTATATAGAACAACGCAGGACGAGCTTCGAACGTGGAAGATGCGTTTTATGAGTTTACCCTTCCAACTTCTTCAGGAACTTTATCGAACTTGCTGAGCCATATTTCCTTTTTTTCATTGGAGCACTTTAAACATCACGTATTCATTAGCTTTTCTACACGTAAGCCTATTTCTGAATTTTTCTCCTACTGAAGTGATTTTTTTATTTATGCGCTACATGTAATTGTACGTTCTAAGGAAAAAATTATACAAAGATATACCTTTCCACAAACGAAAGACAAATAATTACTCTATTCGTCTTATTAATCCTTTTTTAATAACAAAATTTCTCATACCGCTAAAACCAAAAATATCTCCGCATACGTTTATTTTAAAATTAAACATTGCTGAAGTTATACGAATCTGGATTACATGAAACTTCGAATGTGCAAAATAAGCGGATAAAATGAATATACATTTCAAGTGATATTTTATATATAAACAATGAAATAACGAAAACAATGTCATTAATCTATAAATCTTAAAGGTGCGCAATATGTTTCGTGTTATTATTATGTTTCGTTAAAGACGTTACTACGACAACCTCATAAAACGCATTCTGAACGCTCGGAGCGTTTCCTACATTATTTTACCTACCTCGGTGCGACATCCTAGCTTATTACTTCTTCATCCTTTCTCAAGTAAAGTGTTATGTCTAAGCCGCTATACGTGTAAATAGTTAGTAACTAAGGAGGATACGCCTCCATATATTTTCTTACCGAGTTGAGTAATGTATGATACTTTTACTTAATGTATGATACTTTTATGTGAAATAATTTTTATAATTTTGTAAATGTAAAGAAAAACACTAATTACGTGTCCACTGTTAAATTACTTGAAACATTTATTATTAATCATATATTGGCCTAGCTATAATTTTTTTATATTATAAATATATATTTATATTATATATAGGACAGAGAAAGGGATTATATATATATATATATATATATATATACAAAATACATTATAAACCTAGCCATTTTTGGAAAGCACGTGATAACCATTTTTAACAGTTTTCGTGTAAAATAGATGTTACATAAATTTTGCCGAGTCATAAAGTTAGGTGACTTACTTTGTATATTGCGTCCACTGAAGATCGTATAATATCCGAGAAAGACTTTTGCAAAACTACTACGGCGTGCATGCTAAAAGTGAACACTGTTCTCTTTTCCTGGCCGATTTGCGTAAAACAAAGTGTAGGACACAATCTTCCGCCACGCTTCCTTGGCGCTTAAATAACGGTATCGCACGAGTTTGCAAGAATTTGTCGAAGCTTCGAAAAATACTGCTAGCTGGATAACGACGCAACCTCGGCGTGCATATCAAAGTTCTTTCTTGCGAACAAACCGAGGCAAGCTC